CAGGCAACCTAATGTTAACCCTTTGAAGCAGGGGAGGTTGAGACCTGCAAACATGATGAAACTTACTCCATCCTTAAACATAAACCCCTCAAACTTAATTGGCAAGGACATACCCCCGCCACCAGATCCACTGTTTTACCCCTAAAATCAACGGGGAACCCCACCAAAACCACCCATGGCCTGTTCCACCGCCTCCTGTAGGGCAAGATTAAAAAGGTCGAGCCCGACCTCCGTTAGGTGCACACCATCCCCCCGACCTGAACCCCATCAAGAATCTATGGAGCATTGCCGAGAGAAAGATTAGAGACATGAGACCAAACAATGCAGAATTGCTGAAGGCCGCTATTGAAGCATCCTGGTCTTCCATAACACGTCAGCAGTGCCACAGGCTCATAGCTTCCATGCCACGCTGCATTGAGGCAGTAATTGCTGCAAAAGGGGCCCAAACCAAGTACTGAGTCCATATGCATGCTTTTACTTTTCATAGGTCCGATATTGTTCTATGTACACTCCATATTTTATTGATTGCATGTAATATTCTCATTTACTGAGATTGTGGATTTGGGGTTTTCATGAGCTGTAAGCCATAATCATCGCACTTATGACAAATCACGGCTTGAACTATCTTACTTTGCATGTAATGCCTCATATCTCATGCCAAAAATAAGACCCGCCCCTGGTGCCAAATTCTCTAGGTACATCCCTGTAATATGTACCATCTTTTGTATAAATATTGCGGTGCACACTCAATAAAAAAAAAAAAAGAATAATAAAAAAAAGATTATATATATATATATATATATATATATATATATATATATATATATATATATAGTAAATGGAGAAAAGCAGGCTGCACTCACGGGCTTAAGAATTCGAAAAGTGGTATTTATTCCATCAAAAAATAGAAAACAATCAACGTTTCGGTCCGCACAGGGACCTTCCTCAGGATCAAATTTTACAAATATATTCTAAAACTACCTCTAATATATCATATTACATTAATCATAAGTGACTTACCCCAGGTGATGTAAAGCTTCCCCGGCGTTCACCGCTGAACACCGCGCATGTGCGCCCTATCGAGTGCCCTCACGCTGACCCGCGGTTCATGCGTGATGACGTAAAGAACGCCGTTTCCACGGCAACGTTTACAGCCATCACCATGGAATCGCTGTGAATACACTGTAGCAAATTAAATTACCCGATGGTGAAAAACTGTATATATAAAGAGAAATTAACTAAATAATTATCTACATAAATAAACAAACATAAATCCACAGGGTCTCCATTAGATAATTACTAATATCGGACTATAAATACTTTAAACATTTAAAAAAGACTCCTATACCATTATTTTATATCATTTAGTTTTTACATCATGATGTGATTTTAACTTTAATTTTTAGATTTTTAGAAAGTGAAGATTCCAACTATATATACCGCAATTACTGTACATTTTAAAGTGTAGGACTCTTATGATCCTATCACACTTTCGCTTGGAGACTACTCCTTTAGCTCAATGTTGTTACAGTTTTCAAAAATGGGTATCATTAGTTAAACTAATGGAATAGTTTATAAATACTTCCTTAATCTAAACAGAGCCTAAATCTGAACCCAATGGGACACTAATTAAAGTATATAAAGTATTATGCCTAGACCCATAAAAGATATGAAAATTTCCATAATTATAAACTCAGGTAACATATATAGTGCTAATTCTTAACTTTAGCTTATTTAGAAATTTTTATTAAATAGGGACCGTTCACGAATATTTTTTTTTTTACTTAGCTAACCTATATTACCATAAGTTCCCAATATATATTATATGAGCATATCTTTTACTATCTGTATATGATTAATATTTACAAAAATTATATACATAAATTATTTACATTATTATTGCAAGCATTAAAGGAACGAGTGATACGATATTGTTTCATTTAGTCCTTTTGGTGAGACCATGTCGAGTCTGAAAATCCAGAATGTCTCTCTGTTGAGTAATAATTTTCCCCTATCCCCACCTCTCCGTGGTTCAGGGATATGGTCTATCGCCGTAAATTTAAGTGTTGTAAGTGGATGCTGTAAGTCCAAAAAATGCCTAGCGACTGGTTTGTCACTTTTGCCATCTCTGTAAGCAGTTCGAATATTGGAGCGGTGTCCTCGAATACGGTCACATAGTTGAGTTTCTGTTTTGCCTATGTATGACAGGCCACAAGGGCATGAAATTTTGTATATCACAAACATCGTTCTGCAGGTAATCGTAAAGTTAATCAGGAACCTTTCATTTGTGTGTGGATGGTTAAAGGTGCGTGATGGTACCATATGGCTGCAAGTTACGCAGCCTAAACATCTGACGCTACCCCGTTTTTGGATATTATCCGTTTGTATATAACTTTGTGTAGGATCCGTCTTTACCAGCATATCCCGTAAATTTCTATTTCGTTTGTAACATATAAGAGGCTGTTGTCTAAAAATCAATGGAAGCGTGGAATCTTGTGCCAACATATTCCAGTTCCTTTTTATGGTATTTGATAAATTAATTGCCTTGTCATTATAGGTCATAGGACATACTATTCGACTTTGTGATGTAGCCAAACTTTTTGGACTATGTTCTCTAGCTTGTCGCAACGAACATTCAAGGTCTGACTTTTTATATCCTCTGGACAGAAATTTGTCTTTCATTTCCTCTAATTGTTCTTCCCTCCTTTCATTAGAAGAATTATTGCGTATGGTTCTTAAGAATTGTGCTTTAGGTAATGACGCCTTTAAC